CCCCTCTTTCAAAGTCGTCCTATTGATTTTAGCATTTAAGTATCTTTGTATTCAGGGCCGTTTGTTGGTTGGGGGGGGGGGGCGGGGGGGATGGAGAAAAGCAGAACCGTAAATAAATCAAGAACTGCAGTGAGATTCAAAGGAGGAAAAAGCCCTCCTGGAAATCCTGCTTTTCACAAGTAAGGATGTTGCTGCGGCTGGCGCCAGGCTGGCAGATTGTTGGCAACCTCGATGTTGGAGATGCAGAGAACGGCGGTGCCAGGGGGGGCCAGGCGGAGGAGGCGATTCGGAGGGTGGGTGGCATCGCCAGGAAAGAGGAGGGGGAGAACTCTGCGGGAACAGGCGCCCCCTCTTCCCCTCTGCTTCATCTTCCAGGCCCGTCAGAAGAGCTGCTCCGTATGGCTGACAGGAAGTCAGAAGATGGCAGCTTTGGGGTTTGTGGGGAGAAGGAGGCTTAATTTCGGCTCAGGAAGCTTGACAACTCCAGGAAGCTCATAATAATCCGAAGAGAGTCTTAAAAATAAATTCAAATTCAGGCTTAGCTCGGCTTTAATGACAGCCTGGCCTGGCATAAGCAGCTCTTCTCTGCCACATTTGCATTCCGCCCGAATTCTTCCCCTTTTCCCATTCCTGGTTCGTTCCTCCACTCCAAGGGAGGGTTTCACTCGGGAAACCTCCCCCTTTCATCTCTGCTCTGCAGGCTCCCCAGCTTTCCCAGTTTTGTGGGGGTGGCACCAGGAGAAAAAAACGTTTAGCCTCGTGGCTGGGCTTGTATTCCTCCCCACCGCCCACCCGTCCCCTTGACAGCTTCTGCCGAAGGTCTCGGCAAAAGATTGGCTTGAAAGAGGGGAGCGGGGGGAAATCACGGATTTGTTCGGCCGTTCGGTGGCACGTCCAAAGAGTGGGTGCCATCGATCGTGCAACCACACGACCACCCTAGCTTTTGAAGGCAGCAATGGGATGCGGTGGGCTCAGGGGCTAAGACGCTGAGCTTGTCGATCAGAAAGGTCGGCAGTCCGGCAGTTAAGATAATGAAATTATGTGGACGTATTTATCTGTAGCCGCGCATTAGATCGAATCGTGTCTCTGTTTGACCTACGATGAGCTCTTAGGGGGAAGGAAGAGGCAAAAAACTCACTTTTCCTCCTCTGCTTCATTGGAAAATAAGCTGGTCATATTCTAACAAAAACAAGTCAGTCATATTCCCGCGGTGGCTCAGGGGCTAAAGACGCGGAGCTTGTCGATCAGAAAGGTCAGCAGTTTGGCGGTTCGAATCCCCAGCGCCGCGTAACGGAGAGAGCTCCCGTGACTTGTCCCAGCTTCTGCCAACCTAGCAGTTCGAAAGCATGTTAAAAAATGCAAGTAGAAAAATAGGAACCACCTTTGGTGGGAAGGGAACAGCGTTTTGTGCACCTTCGGGCGTTGAGTCATGCCGGCCACATGACCACAGAGATGTCTTCGTACAGCGCTGGCTCTTCGGCTTTGAAACGGAGATGAGCACCATTGCCCCCTAGAGTCGGAAACGACTAGCACATATGTGCGAGGGGAAGGGGAACCAACCTGAAGTCAGTGGAGACTGTGCTTGCAGGATCCAATCTGGGTTTGTCTTCTGAGCTTTCATAGGCAGCCGTGTTGGCACTTTGAGGCCGGCTGCAGGAATTGTTTTGGTCCTGTCTTGTAGGAAGGTAGTTGGGGAACAGTTGGATTCTCCCCCATCCTTTGGTCTGTTCCGCTTCCCCCTTGCCAGGCTTAATCGTCAGTTTCTGTGAAGCGGCTCCTGTGTGTGGGTGGCATCTCAACTGGATTTTGGTTTGCATTCTTTTTCACCCCTCCTCAAGTATTTCTTCTGGCAAAACAGGTTCTTCCCCAACGGAAGGCACAAGGGAGAGAGAGAGAGAGATCAAAATCCTTGTGCTTTCGTTCTCCCTACAGTGAAGAGTCTGTTCTTCAGCTCAGCCGGAAGGTGATGTGTGAATCAAGGGAGGAAGCAGAAGCCATGATACATCTGCTGGTTGCAAGATTCATAGGGCACCTTCTGTCTGCTAGAAAAGCTGGCCAGATGCCTCCAATAGAATCACAGGATGAGGAGACACTTGGGCTGAAGATCTCATGGTCATCGTCGTTGTCGTCTTCCTCCTCCTCCTCCTCTTCCTCCTCCTCTTCCTCCTCCTCTTCCTTCTCCTCTTCCTCCTTCTCCTCCTCCTCCTCTTCCTCCTCCTCCTCCTCCTCTCTTGACAAACAACCCAAGGGAGATGTGGGCTGCAAACAGGGGTTCTCAACCTTGCCCCCTTGAAAGTGGGTGGACTTCAACTCCCAGAAGCCCACAACCAGCATGCTGGCAGTTGGAGTCCATCCATGTTATAGAGCCGAGGTGGCGCAGTGGTTAGGGTGCAGTACTGCAGGCCACTTCAGCTGACTGTTATCTGCAGTTCGGCGGTTCAAATCTCACCA